GTTAGAAATTTACATTTATCTGTTATATCCTTATTTTCATTCTTTTTAATAAAACATGCCTCATGGCATTTTGAACACTTGCCATATGAGTGTCCCCAAAGCGTATCTTGAGTGTTGGAAGTCTAAAAGTATATAAAAAATAAGACGCAGCTCGTGGCTTGTTGGATGCATGGCCTAGAGTTTCGGTATCTGACAATACATGTCCGCCTCAGTAGCCAGTAGGAGCATTCGTGACTCATAGATTGTGGTGCGAGTCTCAGCAACAGGAATTTCCTATTTCATATTCTTGTGTAGTTGTGTTTAGTCTCTTAATTTAGTATTTCTTTATAGTTTACAGCTAGAATTAGGATCGTTCATCGTTGCCACTAATGATTTCATTGTCTATAGGTTCAGAAATTTATTTCTAGCAGTTATAAACCTTTCATGGTTACTCTAGGTTTTCGAATATTTTCATTATTAAGATCTTTCATTTTTAAGTTGCTCGAACCATTTGTCAGTTATATTCTTATTTGGAAGACAAACAAATTGGGGTTCAAGAATTCTTATCTCACCATTGCGCTTCTCCTTGATTTTTGGCCCTTTGGTCATTTATAATTAGTTCCTATGACTGTATAGCATTTGTGGGAAAATTATAAACCTCTCCTCATAATCACCTTTTGATGTTTCAGCATGGTCATTATCCAGCTTCACTGAATTCTGATAATGAATAATTTTGCAGGGATTGGGGCAGTCATTTTGAACATGAAATCCATTGCCTTTCTCCAGTGCATGAGAATGTCAGTGATGAGGATGTGCCTAATTCTAGTATTATGGGAGGCAGTGCTGGGAATGATAGTGGTGGGACCTTAAAAATTGATGACTTTGAAGTCCGTATGGATCTTACCAATGACTTATTGCATATGGTATGCACTATTGTAGTTCAGCAATTGTGTGCTTTTTGTTTTTCATTTTAGCCTGAGGTTATAATTTTGTTTATATAATGCAGGTTTTCACTTTCTTGGGTGACATTGACCTTTGCCGAGCAGCAAGAGTTTGTAGGCAGTGGAGAGAAGCAAGTTCTCATGAAGATTTCTGGCGGTATTTAAATTTTGAGAATCGATATATCTCACCACAACAATGTGAGTATTGTGAAGCTACTATTTGTTTAATAACTTCATCGTAAATGATTTATTGTTTACAAATAAATGTTAAAAAATCCAAGAAAGAGTTAGATATTGACACATCCTGCTAGAATGAGAATATTTTTTGAGTATAAAGATAAAGAGTAAAAAAATAGTTGATGAGTAACCTGCCTACTTGGATCTGCCTCTTTTAACATTAATGATAATGATTGGCATTCACATAAAATTTATGAAGAATTGAGATCTCTACCTCTAGAACGCTAGAGAGAAATAGAATTATGAATGTTGAGAAGCTCGACATGATAGAATGAAGTAAGAGGTATATGGCTACTAATGTCACCGAGAAAGCAAGAATCACCAATAAGATATCGTGCGGTACTTTACACAATATTCTGGAAATTGTATTTTAAGAGATTAGTTTGATAGACTAATTATGTTCAAAATACCAACAATGACTAACTTAAGTTTTGTTGCCAATAACTTTGTGTTGGCTACATGTCCTTTTTCCTTCTCTTTTTGCTCATTGCTACGTCCTTAGTAACCTAGAACATGCCATGTTAGTTTTGGTCTATGGTATTCGCTTCTATCATGTGCCACTTGGATCAAGTCACTCTTATGAATGTGAACCACATTAGGTCTGTGCAAGATATGCCCCCAAGAACCTAAATTTGTTCATTCCTTAATTCATCAACTGGTATCAGCTTTTCATGTGGTTGTTTATTATCATCTTTTATTTTAAAATGACATTAAACGTGCTCATTTCAGCAACATCCATCTTATGGGCATTTATCTTTAACTGCCCAAAACTCAGTTCCATTTATCCTTAACTGTCCAAAACTCAGTTCCGTAAAGCAGAGCACGTTTACTATAGCAATGACCTTTAACCTTGTATCAGTCTTCACGTCACACCAAATCCATGTAGCGCTTCTCCATTTCCTTGAACTTACTCCATTCTATGCATTATGTCCTATTAGTTTTCTCCTTGTTAATAATCGAACAAAATTTCTAAAACAATCACATCTTGGGCAATACGATTCTCTGTTGACTCATTATTATTTTTTAATGTGCCCAGAAACATGATTCGAAAATATGTTTTAAAACGGTAATTGGAAAAAATTCCTTTTATTAGTTTTGAGGATTCTCATGGGTACGTATTTTGGTGGAAAAAATGTGCAATTTCATTTCTGGAAGTATTTCATGATAGCCTCACCTACTTGATGGAAAAATAAATGCTGCAAACATTATTTTTGATGTTTAGATACTTCATTGTTTTGTTTGTTAATTATTGCAGATTTTGTTTTCGTATATGTGCGCTCGTGAAATTTTTACTTCTTAAGGTGGTTACTATGGTATATGATAAATTCCTTATCTTGTTGACATTGTATTGGGATAGATTGCTGCCTTGTAAGAGAGTATGTTGGGAGCTAGAGAAGTTCAGTTTTTATGTGCTGATGTTTACACTTCATCTCTTGAAAAGTCGAACCACAAGAAACTGAAAAATGGTTTTAGATTTTGATCTTTCCAAGCTGTCTTTAGGACAATGGCCAATAAATACGTGACCAAGGACCTTCTCGCTTTAGAAACTTAGTGCATTATATGATCTTATATTGCAGTGAAGGCCTGTAAGCTCAGAATTTGGGCTATAACTCCCCCCACCCCCCACATATAATTAATTCATTTTGCAGCTGGAGCTCATTGGTGGTGTAATCTTTCATGCTTTATGTTTGTTAAAATGTCCTTTTCATGCTTACCTACATGTCAAAAATTTTTATACTAGCTATTAACTGTACTTAGCTTGTTGTTTGCCTTTTCAGTTGATGACATGTGTCGTCGGTATCCCAATGCCACCGGAGTGAATGTTTATGGTACTCCCGCTATCAATTCACTTGCGATGAAGGCAGTCTCTTCATTGAGGTAATGTAGATTCGATCTCATAATTTACTAAGTTTGTCATTGTAAGGCTGCTGCTGATTTATACGATTTTATGTCAGAAATCTTGAGGTTTTGACCCTGGGCAAAGGTCAGTTAGGGGAGAGCTTTTTCCTAATGGTAACAGATTGCCATGCATTGAAGAGTTTGACTGTCAATGATGCCACTTTGGGTAATGGAATCCAGGAGATACCAATTTTTCACGATAGATTGCACGATCTTCAGATAGTGAAGTGCCGCGTGCTTCGTGTTTCTATCAGGTGATGATATATGTTTAATTATATAATTATATTCTAAAATTTCTACAAACTGTGCAAAAATTTTCTGAATTGCAGTGTTTTTCAGGTGCCCCCTGCTTGAAACCTTGTCTCTGAAGCGCAGCAGTATGCCACATGCTGTTCTCAATTGTCCGCTTCTGCGTGACCTTGATATAGCTTCTTGTCACAAGCTTTCAGATGCTGCTATTCGATCAGCAGCAATGTCATGCCCGCTCTTGGAATCCCTGGATATGTCAAACTGTTCTTCTGTTAGTGACGAGACAGTACGCGAAATAGCTAGAGTCTGTGTAAATCTCACCGTCCTTGATGCTTCATATTGCTCAAACATCTCTCTTGAGGTTTAGTTCTTTTACTCTCTCTTTTAATAGTACTAGTTAGAGTTGAACGTGTATTGCACGTTATTCTAAAATACTTTATCAGTGCTTTAAAAGTTATATTTGATACCCATTTATTGAAAGGATTTGATGAGTATTAAACGAACTAAAGAAAATAAAATTTAGGATAAAAATTTAAGAGAAGAAAATTGTACTCTCAAAACTCAACTTCTATAATTCAATTTTTTTGTGATGATAAAATACTACAAATGAGCAACCTTTTATACTATATTTGGTATATAAGAATTAATTACTAATACATGAATTTAAATGCACATTAAAATTCCTAGATATAAATTCATCTATAATAACCCTAAATTCATGTAGATCAAGATTCATCAAGTCAATATTCATTGAGCCTAGATTAATGTGAATATTAATTAATTGAGAATTAATAACAAAAAATTCATGCATGACATATTATAAATAGTATTTATTACATATTTAAAAATGAAAAGTAAGGTATTATTGAAATAATTGAATTGTAGTAGGTTAAAATCATCCAAAAAATTATTGTTACTTAATAGATTATAGATTAATGTGTATAAGCTGGCTGATTTATTATTTTTCTCTTTCAAGTCTGTGAGACTTCCAATGTTGACAGTCCTTAAGGTTGAGCCTAGATTAATGTGAATATTAATTAATTGAGAATTAATAACAAAAAATTCATGCATGACATATTATAAATAGTATTTATTACATATTTAAAAATGAAAAGTAAGGTATTATTAAAATAATTGAATTGTAGTAGGTTAAAATCATCCAAAAAATTATTGTTACTTAATAGTTTATAGATTAATGTGTATAAGCTGGCTGATTTATTATTTTTCTCTTTCAAGTCTGTGAGACTTCCAATGTTGACAGTCCTTAAGCTTCACAGCTGTGAGGGTATAACATCAGCGTCAATGGTTGCCATAGCTCATAGTCACTCATTAAAGGTTTGAATGTTATTCTTGAGCTTTTCTTTGTTTCCTAACTGTTATGAGGATAGTTTATTTAATGTATACTTGTTGAGGTCGTTGAAATCTGAATTTTTCTGTATATTGTAGATTCTTGAGCTCGATAATTGCAGCTTATTGACATCGGTATCATTGGACCTGGCCCACCTGGAGAACATAAGGCTTGTGCACTGTCGCAAGTATGTTCAACTCTTGCTACCCTGATTTCTGAGCCTTAACACTTGGCGTGCTACAGTACTTTTGCTGAGAATGACTCTTTATTGTCATGGTTTCAGATTTGTTGATTTAAATCTAAGAAGCAGCGTGCTGTCATCGATTACAGTTTCAAATTGTCCTTCTCTCCAAAGAATCAATATCATCTCCAATGCCCTTAAAGTATGTCTTCCATTGAGGGAATTGTTTGCTTAGAAAATACTTCTCTGATAAATCTGTTGTAGTTAGATCTCAGGAATAGTTTTCCCCCGAGTTATCAAAGGAATAATTTTTTTCCTTTCAATTTTTTCTTTCAGAAATTAGTTTTGCAGAAGCAAGAAAGCTTGACCTGGTTGGCATTACAATGCCCGTTCTTGCAAGAAGTAGACCTTACTGAATGTGAATCGTTGACAAACTCTATCTGCAAAGTTTTCAGTGATGGAGGTGGCTGCCCTGTATTGAGATCATTAGTCCTTGATAGTTGTGAGGTTTGTCATTGTAGTTCTTCTCTCTCTCTCCTATGTTTCTTTTTTGTATCATATTTTCCTGTTATCTTTGAAAGAAGAAACTTGTTTTCAATTTATCTGGTAGTTAACACTAAGGTTGAATGTTTTGTGTTCCATATTGTTATTCTACATATTTTCACAAATAAACTCTGAGCCGCAAAGTGAACCTGCTTGATATTATACCTCTCTCTTATGATAGCATCGTTATCGACGCAGCCTTTTTTTATGCCCTGCTTGATATGATCCACACACCCCTGATTCGGCTTCTACAGCTTTACTCAAATAGAGCTGCTTCACAAAGTGAAATAGCTCGCCACATTGTAATTTCTATATTTGTTGGATATAAAACATATTACCTCTGGATTGTGGAATACATTTGATCTCTGAGAAATTCAGTTCATTGTTTGAGCTTTGATTTACAATTTAAGTTAGTAGACGGCCAACTATAATATATTTTCTCAAGATCGTTTTCCCCCTTTGTCTTCTAGAGCTATTGTATCAGTGTAATTTGATGCATACTTAATATTGAATACTGAGGAGATTATGGAGATTATCTGGGAAAAGTTAATTAGTTATGAAAATTAAGCAGTTTCCCTTTTGTTTTGTGTATGTGCTATACCCTGATGTATTACTTCACAATCTTTAAAATTTTAGTTCTATTTCTCTTGCACATTGTTATACGTGTTAAACCTTCCAGTTAGTTATAAATGTTAAATCCAGGTTGTCTGTTTATTTTCCACGTGCTTGTGTTTTTAATAATTTTAGTAACTGTTATTGTATCTGATTACAGTGATTTCTGTTTCCTCAGAGTTTGACAGCTGTGAGTTTCTGCAGTACTTCATTAGTTAACCTTTCGCTTGGCGGTTGCCGTGCAATCACATCTGTTGAACTCAGATGCCCTCATCTCGAGCTTGTTTCATTAGATGGTTGTGATCATCTTGAAAGAGCATCTTTTTATCCTGTAAGTGACCGTTATGCTATCACATTTTTAAGCTTTTAGCATTTCATTTCTTGTTTCATGTTGGGGTTAATGCACATACTCTTCTACTGCCCTGCTTTGGTATGTCATATCAATTTTCTTCTGAAGAATTAGATGACTGGGCTTTATATATTCATCTGATGTTTCTGTACCCTGTTTAAGCCGTTCTTTTCATTTCTGAAATTGTTTTTCAGCCTCACACTGCACTCAAGTATTGCAGGACTACATTTTTGTTACTTCATTTGTCTTGCTTATCAGGCTTTTGAATTATGTATATCTGCATTGCAGGTTGGTCTTAAGTCCCTGAATTTGGGCATCTGTCCCAAATTAAATGTACTGCATATTGAAGCACCACAAATGGTTTCACTTGAACTCAAGGGGTGTGGCATATTGTCTGACGCATCCATTAATTGCCCACTTCTGACATCTTTGGATGCATCCTTCTGCAGGTGATTTACTGTCTTCGTTACTTGTTTTGCACGCCAATCACTCTCTCCGGTCTTTTTTAAAATGACACTTCATTGTCTAGTCTTCTTATCTCTTATTTTCTAACTGGTAGTGTTCTTTGCATTTTCCAGCCAACTCAAGGATGACTGCTTATCTGCAACTACGTTGTCATGCCCCCTTATTGAGTCATTAGTATTAATGTCATGCCCTTCTATTTGCCCCATTGGACTCCTATCTTTGCGCTGCCTTCCAAATTTGACTTACCTTGATTTATCCTACACCTTTTTGGTTAACCTGCAGCCTGTGTTTGACTCCTGTTTGTATTTGAAGGTAATATTCTTTACCTTTTAATTGAATTCTTTACTTGCCTTTGATGAACAACTATTGGCTATAAATTTAGAATTAGGCACATCCAAAAAGCTATGCCATTAGTGCTTGGATCTTGCTGCTGATATTATTTATTGCTTCCCATTCATCATGTAGTCAACTTGGGTCATCTAGGTTTCTGGATGATAGAATCACTGCAAGTTTTATGTCGATCCACCAAGTCTTCTAAATGCACATTTTCCATTTTGCTGGTTCATACTTGTTTTTTAGGTTCTAAAACTGCAAGCGTGCAAGTATCTTGCTGACTCGTCTTTGGAGCCTCTTTACAAAGATGGTGCTCTCCCAGCCCTATGTGAACTGGACTTGTCCTATGGGACGCTCTGCCAGTCAGCGATAGAGAAGTTGCTCACGTGCTGTACACATTTAACACATGTTAGCTTGAATGGTTGTGTCAACATGCATGACTTGAACTGGGGCTTTCATGGTGATATGCCATCTGAGATGCACACACATTATGGATCATTTGCCTCTTCTGTTGGTGATGTCTTCCTTCCTACAGAACAATCTGATCGTTTACTACAGAACCTCAACTGTGTTGGTTGTCCGAATATCAAGAAGGTCGTTATTCCTCCTATGGCAAGATGTGTCCATTTATCATCACTAAACCTTTCACTGTCTACAAATTTGAAGGAGGTTGGTGTATCTTGTTGCAATTTATGCTTTCTTAACTTGAGGTATGGGTGTTGTCCAACTTGATTTTTGTGTTATTTTTTTTATTCTGAGACATTGTTACCTTCATCTCATATTATGTTTTATTGCTCAGCAATTCTTATTCTTTGGAAATTTTGAAGCTTGACTGTCCAAGATTGACCAGCCTCTTTCTTCAGGTATGTTACTCAACAGTCTCCTAATGGTTGTTTGAGTGCTTGTTTGTTCAAGTGCGAGTTCTATTACTAGCAGCTGACCTCTTCTTTGGTACACCAAATAGTCATATAATGATGGCTTTTGTGGAGGGACGGTGAAATTTTTTAGTAGCAAATGTTGATATTTTTAAAATTTTTTGTATAGATATGCTGAGTTTGGGTATTTATTGTTTCTGAATGTCCTCTGATTGGCAGCAATAGAATTATGTTAGAAGAGTTTGGATTCATTTATTATAATGTTCCATCCTCTTTTCCACCATTTGCGAAAGTGTACTGTCTTTTGATGCTAAAACTGCACATACTCGAGCCATGATGACGGGGGTCACAGATTTACAGAAATGCTCTCTTCAATAGTTAGGGGGACTAGACCAGTTGGGTTTGTTGTACCTGTAGCTGATCAGTCCTTTTTCTGGTCTTATAGAATCGTGTTTCCATCAAAATCCATTTTATTTGAAGAAGTGAGATGTTTAAACTGCAATTTAATAAACTGATCTCATTTTTAAGCCAACCACCCCTTGTGTTTTGTCCTGACTACCCATTTTCTTCTGGCAAAATGCATGTTCGCTCTCTCTCTGTGGAAGTCAATTGATTCCTTCCCCTCTCTTAAGTTGTGAACTAGTTATTTGTGATTTTACGGTTATTGCAGTTGGAGATTTCATCCCGATTCCCCCCTTATTGAAATTTGTGGGTCCGGTGGGATTTATGTATCACTGTAGTGTCTTAGGATGTATACTGTACAATTTATACGTTCCAATTTGGGGCTTAGCAATTGGCAATGGAGTTTGTTCCCAGAAATTGGTAATTGAATGGGCGAGTGCGTTCAGGCTGGTGTTCCACATGGAAATTGTCATTCGAGCTTAAAAGTTGATATAATCCATTCTGGGGCTTGGCAAATGACCTTTGAGTTTGTTCCTAGGTTACACGTAATGTTAATCTAGGCATGAGAAATGTCAAATTGAGCATAGCCATTGAATATTGTGGCTTGTTTGGTGAGGTGTAGTCTACACTACTTGACATCATTAGAGAAGAAACAATTAACTGAGTATCAAACATGCGCTTCTTGTAATTGCTTTGAATGATGATGTCTTCTAATCTTCAGCTCCCCATCCCCCAAACGAACCCCCTTTTTGTGTATAGTCCTGTAATATAGACGAGGAAGCGGTTGAAGCAGCCATATCACAGTGTACCATGCTGGAGACACTTGACGTTCGCTTTTGCCCAAAGGTGATACAAACATTGGAAGTACACATATTATATTTGTCTAGTCATCATTATTGTTCAAAATTGTTTCTGAGAGTCTCTTCCTTCTATCTCCAGATATCTCCATTGAGCATGGGAAGGTTACGTGCTGCATGCCCCAGTTTGAAACGAATCTTCAGTAGCCTAGCACAAACTTAAAACCGTTGAATGAGCACTTGGCATTTTTCTAGCATGGTACTTATTTATGTCGTCATGAATTTTCTTCTTTCTGCAGTGGTGTGTTCATATCTAAGTAATAGGTCCCTCTTCTGATATAAGAGATGCAATGAATCACAATTCACTATGTATTTCTTTTTATG